TAAAATGGTCCATAAATTGGTAGTTACCAATTATTTAATAAAATATTTTTAAAAGAGTAAAATGGTCCATAAATTGGTAGTTAACAATTATTTAATAAAAATATTTTTTAAAAAGAGTAAAATGGTCCGTAAATTGGTAGTTAACAACTTCAACCCAAACTTCATCTGTTTCCATCTGGAGATCAAATATCAGACAATCTTTACCAAATTTAAAATGTCAGTAACAGCTGTAAGATCTATTTATTGAGATTCTGTTGTTAATATATATTATTCATTATTTTTCTAGCTTAACAAAATATATTTTTAAGATATTCTTTCTTTTGTTCTTGCACTGGATAGAAACATCCATCTTTATGATAGCTAGATTCAAGGTTCTTATTAATTTCACTGATTTTTGCCTTTCAGCATGTGACTGTCATGGTATTGGTGCAACTAGTTCAGAATGTGACGTAGAGACAGGACAGTGCTCCTGCCGCACTAACTATGGTGGAAGACAATGTTCTATGTGTGATGTTGGATTTTATAACTACCCATTGTGTCAGTGTGAGTATCTTGTTGACTGCATTCTCACAATCAGCCAAGTTATACAGACTCAGACCACTCCCTTTGTATTATGTCATTATTATAGGAGAAAGGATGTCACAGAAGAGAGAGGATGTTGAAAAGTTAAAATCTTATAGATTTCTGAAAATTATTTAATATTAATATTATAATTAGTAGTAATTTGGGTTAAATAACAAAAGAATAATTAGCTATAGTAAGATTGGTAAATAACAGTAAGATGGTTAAAGTTTTAACTTAAAGTTTAGTGGTGTAAGTTGTACAACAACATTAAATTAGGCTTAGTACGTGTAATGGTACTTTAGGCTTAGGTATATTTCAACTTATAAACTGTCAAACACGTTAAATACATTGTTTTATTACATAAATAGAAACTAAAAACTAGTTTATTGTCTTTTGGTGTTTTAAAAATTAGCTTGTTTACTTAAACTTAGATCCATTAGTTTAAATTCAGCTTATAGTTATAGGTAGATTATAATATAAATCAGGCTAAATACATTTTAATATTAACATTACGTATACATCAAAGACTGGTTATTGCCACTTCTAATAAAGTTACTTTTCTAAGTTCTATATAATTAAATATAAACTTTATTACTTTAATATGAAGACAAACTAATGATAAAAAAATAATATAATTGGTTCTTAAATGTTAGGTTTAACAGTAACAGTGTTAACAATAGCCTACTGGTATTGAGTATTTATTTTCAAGCTATAAGTATAAATACAATGGATAAGACTAGTGTAGGAATTAAGCATTGACAATGTGTTAGGTTAATGGGTGCAATGAGTGAGTTTTATTTGGGAACTCAAGACTGGCATGTACTTTTAAGGAAGCTAGTAATGAAGATGTGCAGTATGTGTGTAAAGTTTGTATGTTGGAGGAGAATTTGGAGGCTATCCTAATTAAAGTAGAGGCAATAGATAAAGAGAAGTGTATATTGTGGAAAATGGCAGCAGGATTTGAAGAGGAGCTTAAACTTTTACATGCAAGGAATACATCAGTTAACAATGACTTTCAGGAAGTTATAGGGAGTACTATTAGGGTTAAAAGTAATGGATTTAGTTATATTGAGCCTATTGTGTTGATCAACAAATTTCAGCCCTTGGCTTTTGCAGACAAACTTCTAGAGGGAAGGAAAACAAAAGGGT